ATTTTGCTTTTGCTCTGAGCAGTTGAAAAAACTTAACTCAAAATTGTTTTTATTGGAAGCCGTATAATCGCAAAAAATCACAACTATTATCCCCTATACATGCCCCGACTTTTAATGTGCGGAAGTTTAAAGCGGTATGACAGAAGTTCTTCTGAACATCTGTCGGGGTACTTAGTTGCGCTGCGGATAAGAAACAAGCACTGAGCCGCAGTGCAGGTGGCCACCACCCTCGACGTTCTTTTCAAATACATGAAAAGGATTGTGCTAGCGAGGTGGTCTTTTGGAGAAGTTTGGACACCCCCATTCGCTCCTAAAGAAAGAGAAGGTTGACGGCTGAATAGAGTAGATCAGCCACTTTCTGCTTTGAGACGACTTTGATATTCCTATTTCTAAATTGGCTAGATTTGTCTGAACATCAGAATATACTCTTTTTTCTCATATGCGGGATATAATCCGATTCAAGCTATGTACATATAATATTTTTTTGCTCCAAATAGTAGCACTGTTTTTTGTCGAGGTTTTGAAAAGTAAGATTTTGATTTTCTGTAGACACTTCTTGATTGTCGAAATATCTGGAAGATGCGACTGTGAAAGAGAAATGCTATATATTCACTTTAACCTATATTGCCTCTTTAATTCACTTTTTCATCTCTGTAGACTAGTATCCTTTTTTAGACCAACTCAACTGATACCTGCTCCAGAAGAAGTGCAGAGCTTCGCCGACATACAGCAAACCGGACGAATCAATGTTCACTGCCCGGCTGACAAGATCTTCAAATGGAGCAAACTGGGTGAGCTTGTGCTTATTTCCCATTCTGGAAATTTTGGTTCCCGGATCTTCTAAGCCTTTCATGCAGTTCGCCTATTCAATTTGAATTCGGCTTTCTAACTTCTCTTTGTTGTTCGGCGAAACATAATGTGGTAACATAATTGTGACTTACCGTCATTCTTTGCGATACGGTAACGTGTAGAGTGGGTTGCGTCTGTGATTAATGGCAATGCATGAGCGCCATCGGACAAGGTCAGGCGAGTGAGGTGGTAAAGCTAGTTGACAGAGAGCACTCAGCGCACATGGCGCCAGGTGGTC